TTTTATTTCCGTATCAGAGTCAGTTACAAAGGAACCGGGGTTTATCCCCAAGTGGCTGTGGTGAAAGTGCCGGGGTTAGTGGGAGGAAGGGAAGAGGGGGTGTTGTATCCGGGGTAGTCAGGGAAGGCTGCAGGGAAGATGGGGCATTTGACCTGTGACTTTAGAGACAGAGGGAAGACCATTCCGGGTAGAGGGAATAGCATGGGTACAGGTGTGGAGGCCTGAGAGCGGGTGCAGGGCTCAAGCAATGAGAAGTCATTAGTTGTTGCAGAAGCTCAAGGTATGATGGGAGGGAGAGGGTGGCATGCTGGAGAGGTGAGCGAATGCGAGTCCCAGAGGACCTCAAATACTTCCCTAAGGAGCAGGGACTTCATCTTGGAGGCTGGAGTATTCCAAAGTGAGTTCTCCAGCCAAAACCGGTTTGGCTCAGTGGATAGACTGTCGGTCTGTGGACTGAAAGGTCCCAGGTTCGATTCCGATCAAGGGCATGTACGTTGGTTGCGGGCACATCCCTGGTGTGGGGTGTGCCGGAGGCAGCTGATCGATGTCTCTCTCTCATCGATGTTTCTAGCTCTCTATCTCTCTCCTCTCCCTTCCTCTCTGTAAAAAATCAATAAAATATATATTTTTTAAAAAACAAAGTGAGTTCTCCAAACACCTGACCCATGAGATTCTCTGCTCCAGAAGAGGAGTGGGATTCTGTGTCTCTCACTTGGATACTTCCTCTAAAATATGTTAGTACTGAGAGGCCCAGTGCACGGAATTCATGCATGGGTGCAGTCCCTAGGTCTGGCTGGCGATAGAAGCACGAGTGTCTGGAGTGGAAGGGCACGTCTCAGCTGACCTCTGGGCCCTGGGCAGTACCTGGGCCCCCAGCCCCCTGTGTGTCCCTCTCTACCTGAGTCATTGGGCCCCAGCCCGACTCCCTCAGGACCTGGGAGTTGGGCAGCGCTTCTGGTTGCCCTGCTCGCACCTGCCTTGGCCCGGCGCCACAGTTCACCTGCTCTGCCCTCTGGCTGAAGTCCACTCTCATCATGGCCCATTGGGGCCCAGTGCCTCCATTGCACCAATGCCTGCCATGTTCCTCACCTCCCCTTGGTGGTCAGCTCACTATCATCATAGTGAGCAATAGAACTCCCAGTCCAGGGGACAATTTGCATATTAAGCTTTTATTACATAAGGCTCCGTTAGCATGCTTCACCATATTTAACCCACATCACAACCCTACAAATGCAGACCTGTGGTATCACTCCTGTTTCATTGAGAGGTTAAGAAATTTGCCCAAGGTCACACAGCTAGTAAGTGGTGAAGCTAAGATTTTGAACTTGAGCAGTCTGACTTTGAGCTATCCTGGAATAAAGAATCTGCTTAACTTTGTTTCAGCTAGCATTCCTCAACTTGCTTTTCGTATCTTGTAACATTATAAGGCAACTGACTCTGCGGGAAACGGGGAACTATTGAAGGGTTTTTATCCTGGAGCCTTTCAATTTCATTTGCAAATATCCTTAGTGAGCTCATGATCAGTCACTTGCTCATTAGTGTGCATTAGTCCTTTCTTAGAGCCTCTTTATTTTCTTCCAAGCTCCCTGAGGGCAAGGACTCTGTCGTTTGTTGCTGTGTCCCAGTCCCAGAGGAGGGATATGAGATGCTGCTATAAGGACAGTGTTTGAGTGAATAGTCATTTCCTCGGTTGAAGACAGTGGGGGCAACAAAAAGAAAGGCCTGTATTCTGGGAAGCAGGTGGTGGCAGAGTCCATGTGGGAGGGATGAAGGCAGGAACAGTGATGGGGGTACCGTGGGAATTATCTTGGAGTTCAAGTGGAAAGCAAGACTTCATGGCAAGACTAAAGGCCATTCTATCTTAAATACAAATTCAAATATCTACTCAGAATGTGTTCTCTTCTAGACAGTAACTAAGCCACCTATTTGAAAAACGAGGCATTTGTTGGAATTGAAGGTATATTAGAAAATTCTTGGTTTTAAGAGTTGGAGTTGGAGGGGGAAAACAAAACTCTCAGGTTTGTAGCTACTCCACCCTCACCCCCAAAAGCTACTGGCAAGGAATGTTGTGGAGCGAACACGAGTCAACGACCACTGGAGCCCAGACCAAATTAAAATTTAGGGAGCCTTTATTAACCGGCCTGGCGACTGGGTGACTGCTCTGCCATTCTCCACGCAGGGAATCCGGAGAGCAGCAGCGACCCTTTGTGTAGGACCGCTTTTAAGCCCACTTACCACATCCTGTTTTTGCAGAACAAGTAACCCAAGACAAGACAGTTTTTCCCAAGCAACGTCAGAGTCATGCCATTGACGACCATGTTATTCACAGGGTCATCCTGTTCTTCAGAAAGCTGACAGTGATCTATGAAAGAAGGCCTACGTGCTGGGAAGGGGCCATGAGATCGTATATCAAGGCCTGGCCTGGTGTTAGCACTGACAACTCTATCTGGGGCATAGTCCACGGCCTCAGTAGTGCTCAAACAGTCCCTCTCTCTAACAGGAATAAAGGCTTTGGAAGGTTGGCTTGTTGAACTGAGGGATTCTTAGAAAGCACCGAGTCAATTTTCTCCAATTCTAAGGATAGCAAGACGGAGGCCCAGAGAGGGCAATGTCACAGAGCTGGTTAACCTGGGCTAGAGCTCAAACCGGTTTGGCTCAGCGGTAGAGCATCAGTCTGCGGACTGAAAGGTCCCAGGGTCGATTCCGGACAGGGGCATGTACGTTGGTTGCGGGCACATCCCCGGTAGGGGGTGTGCAAGAGGCAGCTGGTCGATGTTTCTCTCTCATCGACGTTTCTAGCTCTCTATCTTTCTCCCTTCCTCTCTGTAAAAAATCAATAAAAAAATAATAAATAAAGATAAATAAACTGGGCTAGAATCCTAGGGAGCTCTGCCCAGGGCTTCAGGGCCTGCTCCCTAATCCCCTCCACTTACGACCCCAGCAGCTCCTTGTGCCCCCACCCTACCCCCTCCATCCATCACCCCTCCACCCCCTTTGTCCGGGGATGCTGGCCTTTTGCACACCACAGACTGTGCTCCCTGCTGTGTCTGACTGCCCCTAATGAGATTACGGATTCCCGGTAAAACAGACGAGAGTTAATCCCCCGGCTTTAAAGGGCAGGCCCGGCCACTAGAAAGAGCAAAAGGAAACCCGTTCTCTAAAATGCTAAACGCAGATGATAATCCCTGTTCAGCACTAACAGCTCACCACGGCTTTCACGAGTGTTCTCTGGAGGGGGTGTGGCGCCAGCCCTAGTAAAGTAGATGCGGTATTACTATGCCTGTTTTATGGGTGGGGAAACTGAGGCATGTGAGCTTAAACGGCTTGCCCAAGGTTACACAGCCAGTGAGTGGGTCCCTCGGCTCTGCCATCTTTAAAAACAACAGGCCCTGCCGAAACAGGTTTGGCTCAATGGATAGAGCATCAGCTTGCGGACTGAAAGGTCCCGGGTTCGATTCTGGTCAAGGGCATGTCCCTTGGTTGCGGGCACATCCCCAGTGGTGGGTGTGCAAGAGGCAGCTGGTCGATGTCTCTCTCTCATCGATGATTCTAACTCTCTATCCCTCTCTCTTCCTCTCTGTAAAAAATCAATAAAATATATATTAAAAAACACACACAACCACCACAGGCCCTGAGAGCCCACAGAGGTCTTAGCTTGGGCTTACCGCAGCGCCCGGGAAGCATCACAGCCGGGGGCAGAGCCGGCTGGAACTCAGGTGCACTGGACACAAAGCCTGCATCCCCCACACTTCAAAGGCTAAGCACCTTTGAACCCGTCTGCCTGCGCATGTGGTGAAAACCACACCAACCTAGGCCTGAATCCCGCTCTGCTACTTGCCAGCTGTTTGGCTTTGGCCCAGGGACTCTGGCTCCTGGGGTCTCCGTCTCTCTCCCAGTAAAATGAAGATCAGAATCCCAGGCTGCTGGGATGATCTCTGGGACTCGCACAGGTAAGGCAACCAGAGCAAGTCAGCACACAGCTGCCCTCCCCGGCCGGCCTGGTTGTCCCTCGCTGTCCCTCTGCACATGCTCATGACTCAACCTCTCTTTGCCTCAGTTTCTTCATCTGTAAAATGATAAGTATTGCAGTATTGCACTTACTACTTGGGATTGGTGTTTATATTAAACCAGAGGCCCGATGCACAAAATTCATGCAAGAGGTGAGGGGGAGGGGGAGTCCCCTCAGCCCGGCCTGCACCCTCTCCAATCTAGAACCCCTCAGGGGTGTCTGATTGCTGGTTTAGACCTGTGGGATCGGGCCTAAACCGGTAATCAGCCATCCCTCTCCAATTTGCGACCACTGGCTCCTAACCGCTCACTTGCTTGCCTGCCTGATCCCCCCTAACCACTCTGACTGCCTGCCTGCTCGCCCCTAGCTACCCTCCCCTGCTGGTCTGATGGCCCCTAACCACCTCTGCCTTGGCCCCTGCCACCGTGGCTTGGTCAGAAGGACATCCTGATGGATGTCTGGTCTAATTAGCACATTACCCTTTTATTAGTATAGATGTGCTTGTATAAGTAATGTGCTTCTATTATAGAATAATACCTGGTGCACAATAAATGCTTAATTAATGTTATCAGTTAATTGGCAATGAGCTAGCATCCTATTGCTTTACCTTCACTTCTTTCTGGGATGAAGTGGGGGTAAAATCAAAACAGCCAAGCAAATGTTCTCTCGTTCCTCCCAGGAGCCCCTGGTCCCCTCCCCTGTCTAAGAGGAGCACTTGGCTTTGAGGTCCGAGCCCCCAGACCACGTGGCCTGCTCTAATTTCCCAGGCCCTAATCTGCTCCCAGCTCCTAATGATGCAGCTGGTAATAGGATTGTGGCTTCCCTCTGGGGCAGCCACTCAGGCCATGGCCGAGTGGCTGGCAACTGGTGCTTAGCAACCCTGAGCACCTGCCTGCTGAGGAGCCAAAGCCCCCAGCCAGACCCTGTGCCCCCGGCTGGCCTCACATGCGTGGGATGGTGCTGTGCCCGAGGCCAGCAGGCTGGGCTCACCATGGTGCCGGGTGCCATCCTGGCACGAGGGAGGGATGTTTGTAAGCGGAACGGACTGCTCATCCTGTCTGTGCTCTCTGTCACCGTAGGCTGCCTCCTCGGCTTCTTCCTGAGGACCCAGCGCCTCTCACCACAGGTCAGCCACCGGGCATCACGGGGTCCTTCTTAGGAGGGGGAGTGGGCTTGAGGGGTCTGGGGGTCACATCCCCCCTCCACGGCTCCCTGTAACAACACCTTGGGTGAGTCACTTTGCCTCTCTGGGTCCCCGTTTTCTCATCGGTAACATGAGTGTGAAAAATACATTACAGGACTAGAGGGACAGCCAATAAAATGGCTGAGCAAGTGTTACAAACTGGCATCAGCAGGTGAATGGAGGCAAGGATGCCTCATTAGCTTAACTACGGGGCCAGGAGCTGTGGGGTCAATGATTCTCTCTGATCATTGATGCTTCTATCTCTCTCTCCTTTCCTCTCTGAATAAAAATATATTTAAAAAAAAAAAAAAAAAGGAAAAAGGACAACATCCCTGCCTGGGAATTGGCACTGTTCCTGTAGTAACACCTTTAGTTATTTAGGAAGAAGCGTGGGCGCTGGAGGCAGAGGAACCTGAACTTTGACCCTACTCAGAAGTGGCTGTGTGGCCCTAGGCAAAATCTTATCTCCTTTCGGGCCCTCGGTTTCCTCATCTGTAAAATGGAGTGGGGCACTACGTGTCTCTAGGATAGTTGAGGAGTAAACAAGGATCCATCAGGCCTGGCACATAGTGGGTGCTTACTGAATGTTACCTCCCTGCCTCCTCCCTTGCCTACCTAAGTGCTACCTACATCAAGATCTTATACAACTTCTCCAGATCTGCCCATATCTGAAGTGCTAGTCTCCTCCCAGTCTCACCCCCGTTCATCCCTCCACTGTGACCCTGCAGCCGGCTGTCTTGCCTCAGAGCTGCTTGTGTACGAGTCTGTTTCCCCAGCAGAGTTCAACTGGCTGAGTATCACATGGGCTTTCTTGAATCAAAATGTGAACCTAGGTCAGTGCTTATCTCAGAACGAATGCTCAGCTATTTGCTGAATTAAACTGGCAATGGCACAAACCATCTGCTGTCTACTTTCTTTAATTTTCCTCAACAACAAAACTATATTTCCTGCAGGAAGATTATTTTGTGAAAACAAGTTGGAATGCTTATTATGAAAAGCCAAACTCATCTGGGGCCTCCTTTGCCAGAGCTGCCTTCCCCATCTGTTTGGAAATGCAAATATATTCCCAGCGGAATCAACCTGCCAGATAAACCGAAGGAAGGATGTGGAGTCTTAGAACAATTATTTGGCAGAAATGGGCTTTCTCAAGCATCTCACTTTGAAATCCAGGATTTTGTTTGATCTCTGCCTGTGACTCAGAAACCAAGCCCTTCTTATTTTATAAGCTTGTGCAACAGGCACAAAATCATAAACAGTTTGCAAAATGATAGAAGGTCCTGTTTCAGAAAATAATTTACAAGATTTATAATTTGTAATATTGTTGAAGTAATTATCTCATTAAAAAATATAGGTCACTTTGAGAGTTCCAGTTAAATATGGTGAATTTACCACTGCACACATTTTCCTTTCCTTCTTGGATTCTACCAAAATTATAGTAATGGAATTTTTTTAATCCTCACCTGAGGATATGTTTTTATTGACTTTTTAGAGGGACAAGAAAGAGAGAGAGAAAGAGAGAGAGACAGAGAGAGAGATAGAGAGAGAGAGAAACATTGATCAGTTGCCTGTCTCCCACACACGCCATGACCAGGTATCCAACCTGCAGCCTAGGCATGTGCCCTGATTAGGAATAAAACCTGCGGCCTTTTGGTGTATGGGACGACAATGTTCCAACCAACTGAGACCCCCGCCCCCACCCTCACCCCAGCCAGGGCTAAATCTTTTTTTTTGTTCTTTGAAGATATGAGAAAAGATATAGTGACATAAAATGGAACAATCCAAAAACAAGAAAGAGCTTTTGAAAATTAAAAATAGATGAGCCAGGATTAAAAGATCAATAGCTGGGATAAAGTTGCAGAAACCTCCCAGAAAGTAAAACAAAAAGAGATGGAAACAGATGAAGAAAATTAGAATGTCCAATATCCAACTCTCTGAGAGTTTTAGAGAGCACTAAGAGGAAAAAGGGGAGACAAAATCTACGGAGAACACAAGAAAGTTTTTCAAAAATGAAAGGTAATATTTCACGAGAAGAAAGTGTACCTAAAATAAAAAGGTATTGTCAAGATTACAGAAACCTGTTGAAAAGAAAAAAAGAAGAAAAAAATGATAGGTATGCACACACTATGAATTTTTTAAAAAGAAAGAAGAAAATCTCATACCCTGGTTTATCACTTTAAAAATTAGAGAAAATTGGAGATAAACAGATGATCCTTAAATAGTTCTGTGGGAATAAAATAAATCTCATGTAAAGAACAGGAAGAGTAGCTGCAAACATCTTAAGCAACACTGGAATCTAAAGGCGAAAGGGAAATTCTTGTATTTATTTATTTTTAATGAATTTATTGGGGTGATACTAATTACAATTTCATAATACATCATCTGGATATCGTATTGTGTGTTCACCATCCCAAGTCAAGTCTTCTTGGGAGGGAAATTCTTTTTTTTAAAAAATATATTTTATTGATTTTTCACAGAAAGGAAGAGAAAGGGATAGAGAGTTAGAAACGTCGATGAGAGAGAATCATCAACCAGCTGCCTCTTGCACACCCCCTACTGGGGATGTGCCCGCAACCAAGGTACATGCCCTTGACCGGAATCGAACCCGGGACCTTTCAGTCCGCAGGCCGACGCTCTATCCACTGAGCCAAACCGGTGCCGGCAAGGGAGGGAAATTCTTTTAAACTAAGGGTCTTATATATTGCCAAACTACTATCAGATGTAAAGATAGAATAAAGGCATTTTTACTTATAAGGACTCCCAAGTTTCTCTCCTATTCACTCTTATTGAGAAAGCTACCGAAGGAGATGCTCCCGAAAACCAAGGAAGTAAGACAAGATATCCAGGAAGGAGGGGAGAACATACAGGAGAAAGTCCCAGGATGACAGCAAATAAGAGGCCCTGGGACAGCCATTGGGCCTAGAGAGCAGTCAGTCCAAACCGGAGCAGGAAGATGGTGAGCTCTTGAAGGGCACAGATGTGCCTGAGTTCATAGAAAACACCCTTGTTGGGCCTTTTTATTTTTTATTGTTATTTTTTTTTGTTTTCGTTGCTTGGACTTTTTAAAAAAAAATATTGAAGCATCTGGAAGAAATTAGTGAGTGGTTCACAGAAAACAAATGAAAAATCAGTCCATTATTAACTTGCAGGAAAGTTAAGTCATACAAGAAAGGTTGTACCAAAAAGGTTGTAGCATATTCCTTGGCTCAATAGTGACTGTTAATTAATTTAACCAAAAACTATGACATAATGGTGACATGGTAGGAGGAAAAAGGGAATAAGTCTTCATCTGTCATGGTAGATGTCCAAAAGGGAAGTTAATACCTAGAAGTAGTATTATGACTGTATTATTTAGAAATAACAATACTAAGGAAAGCATCTAAAGGAGTTGAGGGTGGTTATTCCTGGGAGGTTGGGTTAGGATAGAGATGGGAGAGGAAGGGACAGCCTTTTATCACTATAGTGCTACTTAAATGAAAGCATATGCACACTGGTTAAAAATACATAGCCATGATGGGTATATTTTTAAAAGCAGAACTTCTGTGTATTGGAAATGGTAGCAGAAGGGGCCTGGGAGGCCTGGTTTCAGGTCCTCACTGGTGCTAACTCACTCTGTCGAGCAAGTCACCTCCCTCTCCTGGCTCTGCTTCCTCAACTACAAAATGAGTCGGCTGGACTAAAAGATCTTTCAAAAACCCTTCTCAGCACCAACATTCTATGATTTGGAACTTTTCAAATCATCAGACCATTAACCAAGTGTGATGTTTGGCCTTTAAAAAAGTTTCAAGTACAGCACTTCGATTTGGATGGTGTTTGAAAGTCCTTGTACCAGCCTTTATCACACATAGCCTCACCCTTGGATGAACGTGGCCTCACACTAGGGTTGCCAGAAATAGCAAAACTGGACTAAATTAAATTTGAAAACAGCATACCCTTTTTTTTTTTTTTTGAATTTCAGATAAACGATGTTTAGTATTAGCAAAAAACAAATATTAGGCTGAAACTGGTTTGGCTCAGTGGATAGAGTGTCGGCCTGCAGACTGAAAGGTCCCTGGTTCGATTCCGGTCAAGGGCATATACCTTGGTTGCGGGCACATCCCCAGTAGGGGTGTGTGCAAGAGGCAGCTGATCAGATGATTCTCTCTCATCAATGTTTCTAACTCTCTCTCCCTCTCTCTTCCTCTCTGTAAAAAAAATCAATAAAATATATTTAAAACAAACAAACAAATATTAGTTGTTTACCTGAAATTTACATTTTACTGGGCTTAGTAATCCCTTCCCATTCCATTGGCAGCGTCTGGTCACTGGATCTGGAGACCGCTGCTTGGGCAAGAATTTAGGACCCGAACGCCAGCCGCATAGATAGGCTGGACCCAGCAGCTCACGTGGAAGCCCAGCATAAGAACTCTATCCAGTAGTCGCTCTTCATACTGATGGCGTCTCACCAATCCAATCCAATTCCCCTTCAGCATTTTAGATGTGAGACGAGCTGTGAGACGGGCTGTGTGGGGAGGCAAACAATGGACCCAACGCGGAATGAGAGACTGGCTCAAGAATACCATGGTCTGCTTGTGAGTCAGTCTCCTCACAAACTAGACTGAGACCTTCAGGGCAAAGCGGTGCCTGTTTCATTTATGTGCCCCGTGGGAGGCTGGCACAGCAGGTGTCGCATGAACGTGTGAGCAGCAGGCAGCCCTGCCCTCATGCCTCCCAGCATCTCCTACACGAGACAGGTGTGTAGCAGGACAGGCAGTGAATGGGGCAGAGGCGGGGAGCGCGGCTATTACTGTGATTACTGAGCACTGACCCCCCGTCAGGCACTCTGCCCAGGGCTTCCTGTGCAGCCTCTCACCGAAGCCTCCCAAGGACCCTGTCGGATGGTGGTTACTCTTGTGTTACAGATGAGAAAACCCCAAGCAGCTTGCTGAAGGCCACACAGCCAGTCCTGAGGGGGCAGGACTTCCTCCTCCACGGACTCCGCTGTGCCCGCTGTAGACAGGAGGGTGCGAGGGAAAGATGACGAAGAACTGAGCCACGGTGACGTCTGCAGCGCCTGCTATAACCTCACTCTTGATGTGTTTTCAGGAAATCAGTTACTTCCAGTTTCCTGGGGAGCTCCTGATGAGGATGCTGAAGATGCTGATCCTCCCGCTGGTGGTCTCCAGGTGAGGGGCCAGGCCTGAGGCTGGGAGGTCTAGGCGGGAGGGGAGAGGATTCTGTGCGCTTCTCTTGGCTCCCTGCTCCTGCTGTGAGCCCCCGTGGGCCCAGAGCTTTCTGGGCGGGAGACTGTGGCACAGGCTGCGGGAGCCTCAGTTGTCCCGTGGCAGGAGGTGTTTCCGTCCCATCCAGAGGTTTGGAGTTACAGGATGAGACCTGACTCCAGGGTAGCTCGGGGGTTCAGGGATTGCTTCCCAGGGGAGGGGCTGTTTACGGTGAAAGCAGCAAGATGTGGGGGGAAAGATGGCATCGGAGACTCTCCCGAGGTGATATCCTGGCTCCCCTGTGTGCTGTACTGGCTGTGTGACCTTGGCCAGGTTACTAAACTTCTCTGAGCCTCGGTTTCCTCGTCTGTAAAATGAAAAAGAACAACCACTCTGAAGCGTTATTGTGGGGACTCGATGAGGTTATATAGTTGCGTGTGCTAATGTTCCGGGGGCTGCGTCACAGAGTGTGAGGGAGGGAGGGGGCAGATGAAGTTGGATGGGGGCTTCTTGCTCAATCATGTAAGACCTGGATGCCAGGCTACAGAACTCAGACTTCACCCACGAGAGCGAGGGGCACGGGAATCGCTGGAGACCACCTGGTCTCTGTCACTGATGTGCCGGGTCACCTTGAGTAAGAACCTGCCCCTTTCTCTTCCAGATGCGTAGTGAGCTGACTGCTCCCTTTAGTATGGAAGAGCCCTTTGCCCTGAGGCCGTGTGTTTGGAGTCCTCGCTTCCCGGGACTTCTCTGCAGGGAGGGAAGCAGATGAGCCTCTGAGTCCTGGGGTTGTGATGGGCTCTGCCCCCTGAGCAGGGTCATCAGCCTCCCTGCCCCACAGCCTCCCTGCTAGGAGGAATAAGACAGCTCCTCCCCCTTCCCCTATAGTGTCATGGACATAATGCCCCCCAGTCCCGGACGCCATTAACGGTGCCTCAGTGCCCCCAGGTTCAGCTTCTTGCAGGCAGCATTTAGGTCTCTCAAGACTCATTCTTCCAGGCTCTGCTGAAATGCCACCTCCCTCCAGAAGCTTTCCCAGACTCCTTGACCCATGCTGGTCATTGTCTCTTCTTTAAGCATCCTCATCCGCTGAGTCAGCGAGTCGGTCAAAGTTCCAGGGGCCTCCGTGCTGCTAGGCCAAAGGCCACTCTCAGTTCTTGCTTCACCTGAGCTCTCCCCAGCGGTGGATACACTTGATACGGCCCCTGGTCACTCTTTTCCTCCTGAAATACCCTTCCCTCGGCCTTTCGCTCTCCTGGCTCTTCGCTGCTCTCGGCCCCTCCGTCCCAGTTTCTCTCCTTCTACTCCACCTCTAAATGTTGCAGTTTCTTCCGCTTTTTCTAATCTGTCCTCGTGGCTTTAATCTCTCTCCTACAGGTCCAACACTCCCTCCCCTATAGAGATCTTCCTCCCAGTATTTCCCACAGCACTTATCAGACATTAGAGGCCCAGGACACAAAATTCACGCAATGGGGGTGGGGGTGGGGTCCCCTCAGCCCAGCCTGCACCCTCTCCAATTCAGGACCCCTTGGGGGATGTCTGATCCCAGGGATCGGGCCTAAACGGGCATTTTGGACATCCCTCTCACAATCCGGGACCGCTGGCTCCTAACTGCTCACCTGCCTGCCTTCCTGATTGCCCCTAACTGCCCCCTCTACCAGCCTAGTTGCCCCCAATGGCCCCCCTGCTGGACTGATTGCCCCTAACTTTGCCTGCCAGCCTGATTGCCCCTAACTGCCCCCCCACCAGCCTAGTTGCCCCCAATGGTCACCCCCAACTGCCCCTTCTGCCAGTCTGGTCACCTCAACCTGCCCCCCCTCTGCTGGTCTGGTTGCCCCCCTGCCAGCTTGGTCGCCTCTAACTGCCACTCCCCCTCCTGCTGGCCTGGTCACCCCACACAGCCTGCTGTTTGGTCATTACTGTGAGGGCATCCTGACCAATTTGCATATTACCCTTTTATTAGTATAGATTGTTATTTATACATATTCAATTGTTGACTGGTTTCTTTATCTTTCACTGGACCGTAAACTCTGTAAAGGCAGAGACAACATCCAGTTGAGGCCTCACTCTGTACCTAGCCAAATGCTTGGCACATAGTAGGTAGGCATTAATACTTGTCAAGTGAATTAAGGAATGCATTCACAATCATGCTTTGTGCTTCCTGGGCACTTGGCCCTGTACTGGGCCCTGCAGCCACAGAGATGAAGGAGGTTCGGTCCCTGAGGAGCTCACGGGCTGTGAGGGAGACTGATGAGAAAAGTCAGTTACCTGATCGCTAAACAAGTTGATGGAGGAAGCACAGGGCACCCTGCCCTTTCTTTCCAGTTTTATTATAAAACTAGAGGCCCAGCCGGGACCGGTTTGGCTCAGTGGATAGAGCGTCGGCCTGCGGACTGAAAGGTCCCGGGTTCGATTCCGGTCAAGGGCATGTACCTTGGTTGTGGGCATATCCCCAGTAGGGGGTGTGCAAGAGGCAGCTGATCGATGATTCGCTCTCATCGATGTTTCTAGCTCTCTATCCCTTCTCTCTTCCTCTCTTTGAAAAATCAATAAAATATATTAAAAATAAAAAATAAAAATTTGTAAAACAACAACAATAACAACAACAAAAAACTAGAGGCTTGGTGCACGAAATTTGTGCACGGGGGTAAGGGGTCCCTCAGCCCGGCCTGCACCCTCTCCAATCTCCTCGAGGGATGTCCGACTGCCTGTTTAGGCCTGATCCCCCAGCAGTCGGACATCCCTCTCACAATCCAGGACTGCTGGCTCCCAACTGCTCACCTACCTGCCTTCCTGATTGCCAGCCTGATCACCCCCTAGCCACTCTCTTTCCAGCCTGATTGATGTCTAACTGCTGCCCTGCCAGCCTGATTGCCCCTAACTGCCCTCCCCTGTAGGCCTGGTCCTCCCCAATTGCTCTCCCCTGTAGGCCTGGGTCCCCCACAACTGTCCTCCCCTGCAGGCCTGGTTGTCCCCAACTTCCCTCCTCTGCCAACTTGGTCACCCCTAATGCCCTCCCCTGCAGGCTTGATCGCCCCCAACTGCCCTCCCTTGCAGTCCTGGTCCCTCCCAACTGTCCTCTCCTGCTGTCCATTTTGTGGTGACCATCTTGTGTCCACATGGGGGCAGGATCTTTGACCACATGGGGACAACCTGCATGTTGGAGTGATGGTCAATCTGCATATTACTCTTTTATTAGATAGGATAGAGGCCTGGGGCATGGGTGGGGGCCAGCTGGTTTGCCCTGAAGGGTATCCCAGATCAGGGTGGGGGTTCCCTTTGGGCGTGGGGAAGCCTGGGCAAGGGGCCTGTGGTAGTTTGCAGGCTGGCCACACCCCCTGGCAACCCAAGTAGAGGCCCTGGTATCTGGGGTTTATTTATCTTCTATAATTGAAACTTTGTAGCCTAGAGCAGAGCCAAGCCTTTTGCTTGCTCTGTGGTGGCAGCAATTTCTGTTTGGATTTATGTATCTTCTATAAATGAACCTTTGTAGCCTTAAGCGGAGGTCTGAGCTGGCCAGAGTGTGAAGAAAGCTTGGCTTCCTCCATCACTGGGGGCAACCCTAGCCTCCTGCTCTTTCCAGCTCCGTGGCTGCTGCCATTTCTGTTTGGATTTATGTATCTTCTATCATTGAAACTTTGTAGCCTTGAGTGGAGGCCTAAGCCGGCGAGGGCAGGCGGAAAGCTTGGCTTCCTCCAATGCTGGGGAAACTCAAGCCTCCCTCCTGCTCTCTGCGGCCACAGCCATCTTGGTTGGGTTTATTTGCATATTCGTTCCTGATTGGCTGGTGGTCGTAGCTTGTGGGCATGGCTTGTGGGTGTAGCAGAGTGATGGTTAATTTGCATATTACTCTTTTATTAGGTAGGATAAAGCACAAGACTCTTGTTAGACAGCTTAATCACTCTTTGCTGTTGCTTATCCTTCTTGCCTCTTACTCTGTGTGGACCCTAGAGTCAGACAAAATTGGGTTCCCACCCTGGCCCTGCCATTTCCGAGCTGTGTGACCCGTCATTTAACTTAAAAGGGAATCCTGACATCAGCGAGTCCGGGGTCTAGGTCCTAGAGCCGCTTGCACCACAAATCATCCTGTGGCCTTGGCTGAGGCCCTCCTCACTCTGCGCCAGAGTTTACCCGGCTTATCCAGTGACTAAGGGCCCATCCAGCTCTTTCCGCCAGACCAAGTGCTTGCTCGTGGGGGAAATGGAATGTGGCACTAACTTGAGAAAAGCCAGTGTGTGTTCATGCATTCCGTTTGTTTATTATACAGTTTGGGCTGGTGCAGAGCAACCGTGTCATTGAAAGAAAGCAGTGCTTTAACTTTTCCTCCCAAGGAAGCCTTCTTTGGGGAAAAATGACACATTTCTGAGCCCCAGTCGCCTGCATCCCTGAACTCTGCTTCCTTTACCTTCCACTGGTCTATGATCCATCCATCCACCCAACCACCCATCACCCACAGTTCCCTCAGCTCCTGCGCCAGCCAGCCCAGGGCTGGGCCTCATGGTCCTCATGAAGCACCCACGCTGGTGCAGGGACTGTCACTCAGGGCTGAGCAAAACCACCAAAGATGCTTTGAAAATTCAAATGCCAGGCCTCATGCCAGGCTTACTGAGCCAGACTGCCAAGCAGTCCAAGCAGATGTTGATTTTAAAAGTTCCACAAGTGTCCAATGGTAAGAAAAAAGCAAAACCCTGATGTCTTGGGCTCAGGCCTTCCGGCTGAAGCCAAAGAGCCTGGTGTGAGGCTGCTGCTCTTCAGTCCCCGGGGCTCCCGGCTGGAACCTGGCGGACCGGGGCCGTCTGTGGTGTGTTACGTGGAGAGGCAGGGGACCTGGTCCGCGCCCTGCAAAGGCTGCCACGGACACGGGTGTGCAGGACTCACGCAGGTCTGTGTCAGCGCTGAGGGCGCACCCACGTGTGCCTGAGTCAGGGTGGACTTTCCGGAGGGACGACGAGCTGTGGTGCGAA